TCTTCTTCTCTTCTGCTCTTCTTTTGATCAGATGACAGGATTTGCTCTCCTCCGTTCATGGTCTTGAACACGGAGTGCAGCCCGGATGTGCTGGAGCAGATCAAGAGGCAAGGACTCACATTCCCCTTCAGTAAGTGTCTCTGCCTTCGTCGTCCTCCAAACATTCCCACCTCCCATTGTTCGTTAATTGTCAGAGTAAATTATTAGACTTTCCTTTGCAACCACTTACAGATTGACACGTGTTGCTGCACCTCTTTGTTTCTTGCCTCGACTGTAAGAAAACTTGGAGATATTTTTCTGCACCCCGCTGTCACGATGTCTAAATTTTCCATTTGTTTTTTTTCTCCCCGCCTACATTTCTTCCGCAGTTTGCAAAACACGGGTGGCTCATGGCACCAACTCCCACGAGGTAAGAGGTCGCAGGGCTCAGAGGTCACTCACACCCTCCACAGTTTGCTTTGTGTAAGCAGCAACACTTGTCCTGTCACAGGAGTTTCATGTAACTCAAGTTCAAACAACAAAATCAGATAAAGTGCTGTACCTCGTGTGTGTGTCAGCTGAGATCGATACCCCCGTCAGGCTGGCCAAACAGGCTTCATTCCTCCACGCTTAACGGCGTCGAATTAGGCTCGGTTTTAACTCCCTGCTGGTACGAACGGCTGCTCTGACTGATGACCTGACTGTTTTTATTTCGTGTCTTCCTGCCCACAGATGGCCATTATCTTCAGCGAAGAGGACCTGAAGGACGTGAAGCCTCCGTGCGTGATCCAGAGCTTCATCAACCACAACGCAGTGCTCTACAAGGTGTTTGTGGTGGGGGACTCGTACACCGTGGTGGAGAGACCTTCGCTGAAGAACTTCCCTGCTGGACCAGCAGGTGAGACAGACAGACAGACAGACAGGGAAAGAGAGAAGTGGGGAAGTCCGATGGCTGCTAACAGCGACACTGGTCAGTCCGTACAATCTGCACAGCTCCTCCAAATTACCCAATAAAAGAGCTCATAAAATGGCTTTATAGTCCCTGTGATTGGACCTATTCGCCCTTTTAAGGGGTGCAGTCGAGCGCGATTGAATTTTTACCCACTTGGTACACGCTGTCGAAAATAAACAAGAGGAGTGATGCTTTGCTCCATAAACATGTCAGGTTTTACCCATGACGTGTCCTTTGAACACAGGGCTGTCCCCTGACACAAATGAAGCCGCTATTTGCATGTGATACAGCAGAGGCCCTCATGCAAACCATATTCAGTGTCGGTGTCGTCGTCTGCTTTGTGTAACCGTGCACAGAGGACGGTTGCTTTCAGCCTGGAATGCTGAGTGGTGCAACAGAAAAGCTCGGCCCTTTTCAAACGCATAAAGCGAGCATACCACAGCGATACGGCGGTCACGTCGTTGTCCTCTGCAGCCTGAAACTGTTCGTTGTGTAGCCAGAGAGGCTGAGGTATGGAGGTGAAGAGAGGCCAGAGCTGGATATCACTGTGAGAGATGGTCTGTCCCATTCAGGCTTCCTTCTGTCGGAGTTAAACTGCTGTTTTGTGCGTCCGCTGTGGGAATAAACGAGCCCATCTGCCTAACATTTCATTACCTCGACCCCTAAGAGCCGAGGGCCATATTTATTTAGACAGTGATGGAATTTACTTCTTCCCTCCGCTCCTCGGCCCTCTTCCTCACTTCTAACGCTCGCTGTGTTAATCATTAGTGTGGAAGGAAAGGAGGGTTAGAAATTTTGCAATCCGTCCTGTCATATTTATCATTACCTGAAAGAAAAATATCCACCTCAGGCAAACAGGTTACAGATTTAAACAGATTCAACACTCGACATGACCCGACCGAGAGAGTTTAGAAAACGTCAAGTTTAGATTTAGGTTCATGCTGCTTAACAGGCGGGATAGAGATCATCATGACATTGATTTAGTGAAGCCGCTGTGACCGGTTGAGCTTTGCCGCCACCTAGTGCCCGAGATGGGAAACACAAACAGACGTCAGCTCTGGTAGAAACTTGTCAAAGCTCCAGAAAAGCTGCTTCACCTTTCTTTCTGTGTTTCTCTTTCAGACAGGACAGCCATTTTCTTCAACAGCCACAACGTTTCCAAACCGGAGTCGTCCTCGGACTTGACCTCGGTACGTCTGGGATGTTTCCCAACGAAATGTTGTGTGATTTTTTTACGAGTCGTGTCGCTAATACACCTTTATGTGCACCTCAGAGAGAGAACGTGGAGGGAGTGTCTCAGCCGCCCAGCGACGACGTCATCAGAGAGCTGTCCAGGTCACTGCGACAGGCGCTGGGCGTGTCCCTGTTCGGCATCGACGTCATCATCAACAACCAAACGGGCCAACACGCCGTCATCGACATCAATGCATTCCCTGGTAGGCGGCGCCTCGATCAGTCAGTCCATCAAACTTTTACTTGTGTGGCACCTTTCAGACGGCTTCCTGCAGCTCAGAGAGGGATGGTAGTGAATCCCAGAGACGGGCAGAGGGGGATGGACAGGTGTATGGAGGAGGAGGACCTGAGTGTGAACATGGAGGAGTTTAGAGAGGTTTTGGGGGGCGTGAAGCCTTAAATGTTAGAGGAGGATTTTGAATTGGTACTGAACCAGAAGCCAGTGGAGCTGTTGGGGGACGGGAGCGATGTGGTGGATCAGGGGAGTTCAGGTTATGATGCAGGCAGCTGGATTCTGGACCGGTTGAAGTTTATGGAGGGATTTGTGAGGGAGACCAAAGAGGAGAGAATTACAGTAAACCAGACAGGAAGTGACGAAACTGTGGAAAAGGATGGCAACGCTGTGGGGGGAAAGGACTGCAGTATAAGATGTTGTACCTCTGTGGGAGCAAAACATGGCTGGAAGTGTTACCAACACTAGAAAAAGACATGGTGACTCCACTCTGTAGATGTTTTACTACTTACATTTTAGGATTAGTTTCATACTGCACTTAAGCTGAAAGAGTTGTTGTCATGTGACCGATGCTCTGGTCATGTCATGGTTGCCCAGAAGAGCGCAGAAGATTTCATTTTTGGGGTATAAGGTTTCTTTTTTTTTTTTATCAGACAGTGAGTATTTTTTAGATAGGAGCTGTTTTTACCTGTGACATGTTTCGACTGTCGCTTCAGTCTTCCTCAGAAGACGTCTGTGGTGACGTGTCTTTATCAGCTGGTGGTTTCCTGGAGGTGTGACCCGCCTGGCAGTCTGTCAGATTCGCCCGGCGGGCCACGCCTCCTGCCGCCCAGTGGTCTCTGCAGGAGAGCGTCCCATGTGTGGCCTCCTGATTACTATGACCTCCTCGATCCAGAGTTTAAATCTGTTGTTCTCCGATGACATTTAGTGACAGTCGAAACATGTCAAGGTGAAAACAGCTCCTGTCTAAGAGATACTCATTGTCTGATAAAAACAGAAACCTTATACCTGTAATCAGAGGAGACGAAATGAACCTAATCACACTATTTAGTCTTTTTATGGAATCTGATTCAAGCAGACAGATAATTTTCATTTATTTCACTTCAAGGCCATGTAGAATGAAGTCATTTTGATTAAATAACACAGTTTCTAGCTGGAGAGGTCGTTCACAACCGTCAGAAAGTTCAAACTCTGACAATTCTCTATCTTTTTATAGTTTCTGGTCATAAATGGTGCAATTGTGCCGATTTGGTAAACTCAACATGCCGTCCAACCCGCTGTTGGATTGAAGGGTTAACAGATGTAAACACAATAAGATTAAGATGTATTATAAGCAACCTTTCAATTCATTACTATATTATCATATCCATTACACACGTATCAGGAGTAAAACTCTTTGGTTCTGAAACAAAAGCCTAAAACAATGAACAGTCATAAAAAACATATGGTAAGAAGGTAGTGACAATACAACACAGTATACGACCCAATAGGACGGAACCATGTGTGTGATTCATATGTGTGTATATGTATATGTGTGAGTGTTTATTTATGAGTGATGGTTTGATAAAAGAAACTGTCCTTCAGGCGGCTGTATCTCTGTCCAGAAGGCAGCAGCAGCACTTGTAAACAGATTTAGTGAATTATTCTTTATTTAGCGTCCAGCCGAAGCCAAATTCTTTCCTTTTTCTAAATATTTAGTCCGTCTAACTGAGCACGTCCTGCTGCCTTTCCAGGTTACGAGGGTGTCCCGGAGTTTTTCAACGACCTCCTGAACCACATCAGCAGCGTGCTCCAGAGCCACAACCCTGACTTTGCCCCCGCCGGCGAGCAGCCCAAAGGCCTGCCGGCGAGCACCACGGTACCGAACGCTGGCCCGCCGGGCCCCCCGGGCTGCTGCAGCATGCTGGGAAAAGAGTTGCAGAGACTCGGCTGCAACTCGACAATGTCCCCCAACTTCCAGCAGCACTGTGTCTCCACGATAGCCACCAAGGCGTCCTCCCAGTGACTGAGCCCTCCCCCTCTTTACTCCGTTTGACCCCTGAACAAAACAAACAAACAAAAAAAAAAAGAAACGGATGGTGACAATAATAATAAATAATAATCATAGTAATTATGATGTTAATGATGATAATATATCTAATCAAAAAACAAGCCTTTTCCTATATAGATATTGAAAATAATGGTGATTGGGTGTAAGCTTTTTTTTTTTTTTCTCTCTCTGCCTTTTGTATTTTTCGTTTCGTCTAATGAGACTTAACAGTACTGTAATGTGAACTTTTGGGAACTTTTGCCTAATAGCTGATTTTATTTTTTTTCTCTCTTGTGTGAGGTCTCTGTAACGAAAGGGTCCAGATGTGGTAGCTAATAAGAAAGGCCTGATCGGGACTGGTGAAAAACGTGCCACTAGACGTGCAATGCAGGATCCCTCGTGTCTCACACACACACACACACAAACACACACACAAACACACACACGTATGCACACCGGCACATTTACGCTGCGACGAACGGTGCCGGTGATGATGTGTGTTTGTGCTTCTGGTCAATACCACTGACTCCTCTGTACAAAGTCACGGGGAGAGGAGGTGGCTGGGCATTCGAACACTACTCCGCAGATCCCAGGCCGCTGCGTGACTGTGGCCAACCGACGGCAGAGGACATGGTGAGGTAGTTTTGTTAGTTTGAACAAAAACAGGTGAGCCGTTTATTTTTCTGAGTGCCATCAAATTTTAGTGTAGAAGGAAGGACGCCTGCAGGAAGGAAAAAAAAAAACAATATTTTCAAAGGTTAAAAAGAAGAAAAGTGAATCTCCATGACCATGTGACCAAGTTGTTTTTTTTTTGTTTTTTATGATTATTATTATTCTTAATAATGATTGTTGTTGCACCAATGTGTACAGGTCTTTGAGTGATGTTCTGTGTGTGTCAGATGCCGGATGTTTTGGTGTTCAACAAACAAACCACGTCCTTTGAGTCCCAGTTTGAGTCGCTCCAGCGCAGGAAGACGAGGATCACATTCCCTTTTTGTGTTTGTGGATGTTTTCAGAGAAATTCCATGATTTTTCAGAATTCCAGCGGGATCTTGTGAGATTTCTCACATCCCTTCATGGGTTTGTAGTCTCCTTAAACAGACTCTCCATGTGTCTTGTACCTGTAATGTGAGCAAAACAAAAAAAAACTCCTGAGGCGAAACTTGACCGATCGACAGACTTGCTGTGTAGCTTTTCATCAATTAGGGAATCAATTATACCAGTAAAATTAAATAGTGTGCGTGCATACCCGCTTAAATCGGGTATGTTGCAATCATCAAACGACAACAGATAATTCGTTTAGCTTTATGGTCTCACAGCACTTAACCTGTAACCAACAGTCCAAGTCGGTTCATTTGCTTCGAGCTTCTGATCTGTCTTCTGTTCCAGCTGCTGTATTTGTGTCACATGTTGAGGAATCAATCAGAGGGGAAGTGGTGGTGGGAGGAGGAGGTCCAGCTGTTGTTCACAGTGTTCACTGTGAGGATTTTTTTACTCCAATTTTGTTAATATCTTTGTCCTGACATCTACTAAGAGCAACTTTATTTTATTGAGATTTTATGGGGAAAATGTTTTATATAAAAGAAATGAGAGCAGTGATGTTTTTGAACAACGAGCGGATATTTACTAGAGGGATAGTAAAATGCTGGGTCTGGCTGTGCAGGTGGTGTCAAAGGATGGGGGGGACAACACATGAGCTTGTGGTGGATGCCGCCGTCGTCTCCCTTCTAGCATCTAGCGGGGAATGAGTGCCGGCCTGCGGTGCATACAGATTATTGCATTCCTGTGAGCCTTCTCTTGTCCCAGAGAGCTTCGCCTTGCTGTTGTTGTTTTTTTATTATTATTTTTATTTCCTCCATCCAAGGGAACCGACTGTCCTCTTGCTTGCCCCCCTGTGATCGTAAATAATCCCTGCAGCCATCTCACCAGCATCTCTCTGGGACAAGAGAACAGCAGCTCCACTCTGGAACAGGGTTTTCACTGGACGTCACATTGTGAGAATATTCGTACGACGCAGTTTTAAGTATCCTTCCCACAATTTGAAAGTGTAGTGAAGCAACAATGATTAATAACAAGTATCACAGCAGGGTTGAGGTGGCGCTCCTTTACCTCGGAGATAGGGGGGCAAAGTAGAAGGTTCGGGTCGGAAAGGCTGATCTCTGTGTACGCCACTATAGTGTGTCCTATCTCGTGTTCCTTATTGTGCTTCTAAATGGGAAATAAATGGTTAATCTTACCCTTTGTCATTTCTGCAACCCAGACGGTGTCATCATGCTCCCAGCTCCCACCTGAATGTTTACTTCTTGGGTGTCTTGTACAGTACGTGTATACGCGCCTAGGCTTACATCCGTACAGTATGTTGTTTTGTATCAGTTCTGTAATTGAGAAGAATCCACAATTTTGTGACCTTTTTTTAATTAAAGGGCCAATTCAACAGGGCGAAATAAACATGTGAAACCTCTCCTGGCTGCTCTTCTTTCTGAATCGATCGTTTGTGGTCGTCTCTGTGTTTAGATCTCATTTAAATGTCAGTATAAACTTTGTATTGCTGAAACCATAAGTTAGCTCTAAATACTTTAATTTCTTTTTTTTTATAAATACATCAATAAGTGCAGCAATTCTCCACCCAGCCTCCAGATGTTTATTGCTTCAGTGGTACATTTCATAGGTTTGGAAACAGTGAAAAAAGACAGACTTTTTCTAACAGGGCTAATCTCAATACTATACAAAATAGACAATTACCAAAATAAAAATATATATTTTCATAATCTTAGTCTTCTGTACATGTAAAAAAAACAAACAAACCCACAGATAGAAGGTATATTTACAAGAGCACCAGAGAAACGAGGGTATAAAGGGTTCTAATGCTACTTCCAGTTTTCTGCTGCACCCAGTGCTAATGAGCGTGCTGGAGGTGATGAGCTGCCGGGTTCGCCAGCAGTCCCAGAATAGTCGACAGACAGTGCAGCTTCTGCTTGACGTGCTCTGGCAGCTTCTCGTTCTCCTTGTACCTGTAAAGAAGACGCAGTTTATTTGTCGCGGTGCCTTAAACCACCACTTTCCAAACTGTGTCAGATGTTTTATTCAGGTAATGGAGCTACCGTAATGTCCGGACTATAAGCTTCTACTTTTAAAACAATGATGCAGCTAATTTATGGTTTTTAAGATTTTTAAGAATTTGCCTCGAGACGAAAGTGACATTGAGACGAAAGAGAGATTGAGGAAGTGTGTGACGAAGTAATTCTGAGGCTGAAGAAGACGACTTTAGTGGTTTTAGTGCGCAGGAGGAAGATGAAGATAGCGATCAATGACTTTTTCTGGTAGGCTGCTGTAGTTTTTATTATTTTAACCATCTGTCTGTGTAAATATCTCGTTACAACGTGGACACCTGCAGCTTATAGACAAGTGCGGCCTGTATATGTACAAAACTAGTTTTCTTTTTAAAGTCAGTGTGTGTGGCTTATATTCAGGTGCCTCAATAGTCTGGAAATTACGGTAATTTTGAAGTGAATTTGTTGATTCTCCCGTATGTTGAACAGTTTAACAGAAGGCTCTTTATATAGATAAAACCAGCAGCCAGCGTCTCCTACCTGGTGATCCTCCCCTCTGGAGACGTGTAGCTGATGCAGGAAACTCCTGCCTGAACCACCAGTTGCGAGCCGTCGTTGAACTGCACCCAAACCTCTCCGCCCGTCAGCTACAGGTACGAAAGCAACAATCAGTTTTTCAACCACAAAGACGCTTCCTTTGCCAATTACAGAACATCAAGTTAACGTATTTATCGATTACCTGGGATGCCCATCCAACGTTGGGGACAAATATGGACTTAACCACTTTCCCTGTGCTCTGAAGCAGGTCCTGTCGCACCGGGGAGCTTTTCTTGCTCAGGCTGGCTGTGGTGAAATCAGAGCCGTCGAAGGAAATCATCTGGAAACAAATGTTTTAAGGTCAAATATAATATCTTACTATTAATCTCCCACATTTTTAGATTTACATTTTTGCCCCAAAGGCACTAGAGCGGACTCTGTTTTGTTTTTTGAACATGCATTTCTTTTTCTCTGCAATGACATAATTGCATCTTCCACAAATCTGCGGTTTATAGATTCTGAAACGACTAACTGTAACAGCAACGACTGATCAGAACTCCTGCTGTCACCGTTAGTGTTTGGTTTTACTGCAGGCAGATTCCCCCGACCTGCCACATAAAACCAATAACTTATACATAAAACGAGGCGGTTTCTTCCTGCTGAGCCTACATGAAAACATTTTCCTTCTGCTGCTGCTGACAACACCTGGTTCTGATGAGACGCAGCCAAACAGGAGGTGGTGTGGCCTGAACAGATCAGTGGCGCTTTGTTCATATCTCATGTTTAATGTGGGATCGCAGTAACGCCGGCTCCGGCTACAGATGTTTTAAAAATCCCAACAGATTTTGAAAACACTGCACTACACACAAAAGACGGAAGTTCACAGATATTCTCTCTAAAACATGGTGCACTTGTAACACTAATAATACTTAAAACAAAACATTAGCAGAAAGCTAAACTAGTCTGGAGGAGAACTGGTTGGGAAAATACGTCAGCACAGTCTGTATGTTTCTTAACTGGAGATTTTAACTTACAATATCTGTAGATAAATATCAAAGCTTTGATGTGATCAGAATGGTCCAGATCCAGAGTTTCCAAGCAGTTTGGGAAGTTTAAGCATCACCAAATCATCTGGGCCTTTCAGACCAAGATTCCAGACCAGATTTCTCCTCGGATTGTCAGGAGGGCTGAAACGGAGGCAAATGGGCCCAAAATCCCTGCAGTCTGAGCCCAGCATTAGTCATCTTTATCCAGTGGTTTAAAGGCTGCGAGACACTTACTGAGGGAGTGATCTGAGGAGGTTTCGGAGGTGAAGCTGTATCAGGAGGCACCGGGTGGGAGGGCAAGGACGACGGGCACTGGGCGTCTGAGCTGGCAGGTCTCCTACAAAGAAAAACATAGAAAACAAACTTCTATCACAAAAGATGAGCTTAACAGAAAAACAGTTAGTATACGAGGGGCGGCATCATCATCTGACCTGCCAATAGTTATGGGGAAGAACGGGACGTTGTTGGTGCTGCGCTGCTCCTCTGCGGCGATGGCGGCCTCCAGCGCCAGACACATGCTGTGGCCCTCGTCGGACAGCTCCACGTACTGCCTGCTCTCTGGGCTCAGGCCGCTCAGTCCCACCTCGCCCTTCACCGTGTACGATTTCCCGCTCTTCTCCACCACTCGCACCAGTTCTGATGTCTTGTGGGTCTTTGCTCCTGCATGATGTATTTATTACATGTTAATTCACACAGACGATGTTCAGTCCGGCTGCTTCCTGAGTCTCACCACACGTTAGACTCACCGTCATAAAAGCAAACTTCCAGGTCTGCACTTGGAGCGTTTTCCATCAGCATGACTTTGGCGTACTTGGTGTAAAGGGTCACTTTAGGAGTCTTGGACTTCACAAGTTGCACAAACTTGGAGGCATACTGGTACTTCTTCCAGTATTTCTCTATTACAAACAAAAAAAGATACCCATTAAGATACAAATCTTTTAATCAGCAGACAGTTTTGGATGTAACGTGTTCATCAGAATACCTGGAAGGTCCTCGTAGCTACAAATGAGGATATCTTCTGGAGGAGCAGGCGGGCAGTCCAGCACAGGAAAACCCTTTCCCCCATTAGGCTGGTATATCGTCACCTAGAACACACAGTAATAAGAAGCTACCATTTATAGGAGCAACAATTTGAAAAGAACAGGCAGCATTATGTCAGAGAGCTTGTGTGATATCACTGTGTTGTACTACAGTAGCTCACAGCATGTTGATGTTTCAAGCGCGATACACACCATCGTTCCATCACAAGAAATCCGAAGAACTTCTCGGACTCTTTCTTGACCGTTCTGGTTTTTTAACAGCTCCATGCACACTTCACCTGTGTCCAAGATGCTCACCTGCAGAAAAGAGAAGAAAAAGAAAGTCAGACATCAACAAGTATCTCAAATGCTCACACAGTTAATTAACAAAAAAACAAGCGCAATATCTTACAACTGCATTTTTGGTCTTCTGTCTGATGGGCTTCAGTCTGGACGCACACAGAGGCGGGACGATGTCTGCCAGCGTTTTCTTCTGCTTGTCTGTACTGTGTTTGGCTGAAGGGAGCTTCAGTTCTCTGATGTGGGGAGTTTCAAACTCTGCTCCAGGTATATTCTCTCTGTATGCTTCAGGGTTGGAGGGATGATGGTGGTGCAGGTGGTGCTGGTTGTGGTGAGGGTTCCCACCTCGGCCCATGGGCTTGTCTGTCCAGGAGTTGTGAACCCCTAAAGGCCCTCTGCTGCTGTGGAAACTGCCACTGCTGCTGTGAGTGCTGCTGTCTGTGGGCCTGTGTCCAGAACCTGAGAACGAAAACAAAACACATGAAAAACTTTGCTTCAGCTGAATGGCTTGCTTGCATTTAGAGAGCTTGAGGATACAATTATCAGTTTTTGCAACCTTTAACTTATATTCAGGCCCACAAGGGTGGTTGACATGTATGTCAGGGTAGATTCTGCAATTTAAAGGGATTATTTTAATTTGTTAATGCATTCCCAAACCAAGATATTCATCTCACTGCCCGAGAAGAAGACCACCTACAACACGCACATATCATTAAAAAGCAGAAAGAAGGAAATTTACCTTCATTGTTGAGCCAATTAGAGACTCCCTCCAGGTCTTGAAACTGCAAGTTTGGTGGATGTGCCGTCTCTGTGGATAAATACCCACAACTGAAACAGAAGAGTGTTATCTGTTAGACTTATTACATTTAAAAACTTAAGATAATACAATGAATAGATGTTCTACCTACTTTGCTGACTGTTTGACGGGGGGAGAAGGGAGCCGTCCATGCTCAGAAAATGGGTGTGGAGTGGAAGACATGGGGAAGACTGGCCGTCCCACGCCAGCCAGAGCCTCCTCTGAGTGGCATCTACCCAGCTCAGCATGGCCTGAGCTCAGGCCTGATGCAGCAGAACTGGAGCGGTCTGAAGAGTGAGCCCTCCTCAAGTAGCGAGAATGAGGCTGTCCGCTTTCTTCCCCATGAACTGCCCTGCTCCTGCCCTCTCTGTGAAATCTGTCTGCTGGTAGCTGCCACTGGTCTCCGTCCTCAAAACAGCCACTGCTGGTCTGGCGAGGACGACTTGGAACAGGCATCATGCGATTAGGCAGGGCAGAGCCAATCATGTGCCTGGTGCGCCTCTGGAGGCGGCTGCCACTGCTGGCTGAGGTGGAGGAGGTGCAGGCTATGGAGATGGTGGCGATGCCGCTGTCTATAGAGCCATCATCCTCCTGCCCCAGCTCCTTGGTCCTGACCAGCAGGCTCTGGGTCATGAATGGGTGGTCCAGTACTGCAGACAGGCTGGGCCGCTGGGCAGGGTCTTTCTGCAGCAGCTGATGGATCAGGTCCTGAG